TTTTTGTTGGTTTAGTTTTGATCAAGCTAGGTTTTTGGAAGGTGGTGCATATATATAGTTCTGCAGTTTGGATTTACAGAATAAAGATTGCAATTTGTAAACTTGATTTTTTTTCCCCTTTCTTTTTGGTTACTTTTTGGGTAAGGATGTGCACTGGAATTTGGTCTGCATGAAAAAAACTAAAAAAAAAAGAAAAAGAGAGAGAGAGAGAGAGAGAGAGAGAGCCCGCAAGCAAAAGTCAGAAGGTTAGATCAGAGAGAGAGAGAGAGCCCGCAAGCAAAAGTCAGAAGGTTAGATCACCAGTCTTTTGGTTTTGAAGGGCCAAGCTAGCTGTAATAACACGTCTTTTCTTTCTTTTGGGGGAGTAAATAATCTTTTGGCCAATATTTAAAAAAAAATAAAAATGAATTGGATTTGGGAAACTTCTTTCTAATCTTTTTGGACTGTTTAATCTTAACTGATTTTAGTTTTATACGGTATCCAATGTCCCAGAATAACTAGGAGTTTGAACTAGGAATTTGTCAGTACTCTGTTATTTGTTATTGCATATGGTTGAATATATTATTAAAAAAATGCATATTTTGGTACCTGTGAGGATTAGGAAAGCCAGCACAATTTATCAACCCCTCTTGATTGTGTAAGTAATGGGTATTGAAATTTTAAGTGCAAGATTTCTAAATTGTAAACACAAATATTTGTGTGAGGCAGTCTAAAAAAAACGGGCAGACCTCCCATAACTTTGGAACAAAAGAGTATAATCGTGATATCTCATACCTTCATTTTTATATATATATTTTTAGTATGACATTTTATTTTGAAAATATGAATATCTGTATGAATTTTTAATGTTAGAAGTTAGAACTTAACTAGCAGTAGCCTTATTGAAAAGACAAATGCCAAAAATCTGCCAAGACTCATGAACTGTGGATAATTGTACTGTATGCTCTGAAATAAACCCTCAGTCCTACAACATTACACCAAAACCAAATAAAGAAACGTAACATTTCAGAAGAATAGGTAACATAGAAATGGTAAATACTCGAGACCATGGTAAAACTTAAAAGTGAAGTTATTTCACTGAAGAGCAAATGCCGAGCCAACTTATACACATGAAACAATAGAATAACACGGTAAGACATAGGTAATTACATAACTACATAAGCACCTACAGATTCATAAAATTATTTTCATTTCCCGTTGGAAAATGATTTATTGAAAAACAGCTCTGAAGATCAAATTTCTACCAAAAACACACCTACAGATCGACTAAATCGGTACCTACCAACATATGCCTACTCCATATATCCATATTTACACGAAATTTACGAAAGGTTCCACAATCCCACCCTATTGCTGTTACAAAAGGAACCAGAGACCAATTTTTATAATACAACAAAGAATTAGAGCTAAACCTAATCAAAGGGTTGAATCTATATAGTTATGTACAAGTCCAATGAAACATTCTACAGATAGAGCTTAACAATGTTCTTTTAAGCTGATGTGTGAATGGAATGCCAATACTGGATCCAATGAACTCCGCTTTTCCATCAAAAAACGAGCCTTGTGTTGAAATAATCGATTCAATTTCAACCCACTTGCGGCATTCTCAACAATATCCATCCAGGGCTCTGCATAAATACGCCACTTGATAACTTCATTTTCTAAAAGAGATTCTCCCCACCGACAAAATTTACTACTTTCATAATTGACTACTCTGCAAAAGTGTATATTTCTCGTTGAAATCCCGATAGCACAGTCTTAGTTCCCATCCTCGAGAGAAACCATCAAATTCAGACTCTCATGTCTGGTAATATCCCATCTCAACCTGATATTTAAGGTTTGATTTTTACCATAAATAAACTCCTCAACTCTCGGTTTTACCGTCTTTCCTTGTCAGGCTTACCCCCTTTGCCTTCTCCATTTCGGCTTCCTTTTGAGCTTTCTTCTTTTCTAGTTCGGCCTGTTTGCAGTTTTCTTCATGAGCTTTCCGGAACATCCGCACAAAGTTCAAGAGGGTTTGCGTAACTGAAATGATATTTCATGATAAGACACTGTTATCAGCAAAATCTGTGATGTCAAAAAACCAAAAGGGTACGAAGAAGCTGCATTTGCCGAGATACCTTGCTCAAATGGGCATCGAGCAGGATCTTCACCGAAATATAAAGCCAATGCATCTGCATTTCTTCCCTGCAGACAATGTGAGCATTATTATTAATGCCAACAGAAAATAATCTTATTCTGTTGCATAATTTATCCATTATTTAGTAAGAAAATGTACCGCAATGGAATAAAGACTTGTCACGGAGGACACTTCGGTCTCAGCAGTAACGACGAATTCATTTAAAGTCTGTCACACACAACAAATTTAAATTTCTCTCGTCTGTTAAACGAACAAAATATGCTCCTGTGTAAAGAATTACAAACTCTTTCTACTAACGATTGATGTATGGATGCAGCAGAAATAAATAGATTACGAAATACCTTGCGGAAAGTGTCAGATACAGGACCATCATTTTCTGAAGCAGCCAATTCCTGTTTCACCTTTTCCAGACCTTTGATAATGGCTTGCATTTCTTCTGCCAATGATTTTAATTGTATCTAGCAAAAAATGACCAAAAAAAATCGTTACTTTGGAAATTATATACAATATTCAAAATTATTCACCCAGCAGGAAAGTAATACAAACCTTTGAAGCCGCTTCCAAGCTAACAAGATCTTGATGAAAATCCAAAAGGCCCGGTGCCTTTGACGCTAGCACCTGATAAACAGAAAGGGGAACTTTAGAAAAAGCACAACTAGATTGACTATATTAAGTCCCTTTTTCAAGTATGCAGAACAAACGTTGACATGCTAAAAGGTGTGTTACACATTTCTTAATAGTTTGTCGAAAGGTCTAACTTAAAAGTTGTCGACGCATTGAATACGTCCACAGCCATTATGCATCAGTTAAAAAGATTGCTCGGAACAAAATAGCCAGTGATTAAGCTGAAAAATACAATTAATATTTCAAAATTTTAAGGCTCCAAATTGATAGTGTTCGCATGGGAAGGACAGAAGATGGCAAACAGAAAAGTGCCTTGAACTGCAGACTACTGATAACAGTGACTGCTCACTAGATTTTGGAAGTAAAACAACATAATATAATTGTAGCATAAGAAGGGACTTTATCAATACCTTACAAAGGTAATGCATGAGTGTCATCTTGCTGTTGGACGCACGTGTATCGGTGAGTTTCAGTAAACTATCCAATTTGAATCCAAGAGCAGAACCTAACAGAAAGTCAATAATCAATTTACAGGCGTTCAAAAACCTAAAACAGCACCTCCTACCACAAATTAAGATATTTATATCAAGAGAAACAATCCAAATAGACTTCAAATAAATTGATCCAAAGTTACTAAAGCCTATAGGGCGAGAATTGCTAAAAACATGGAAAAACATGGTGTTTAATTAGAAAAGATGCAGTTAAGTATGGACCTTAGTGAACCTAAACACAGAAAAACATTGCTGCAATAAAAGTTCAAGCCATGGAAAATCAACTACATTTGTGTCACTTTTAGGTGCAGTCCTAAACATGTCAGAATATGCCATTCCCATCGTTGAAACTGATTTTTCAGTATTACAGATTGAACAAACCGTGGCGTATTTGCATTTGCAACTTCATTGGTTCTGACCAGAAAGGATCATACCTCTGGCAGTTCCTTGATTCAGTGTATTTCCAAGAAATAAGATTGTTTTCATAATCTCTTTCAGTTTGTGTGATCTTCGGACCTAATGAACAGTAAGATGTTAAGTTATCCAGGCCATCACCATCAAAAGCATATCAACCATTCAGCAGAATTTACATTTTACCTCTTCATAAGAAGAATTTACTAGGTTCAAGCTTTTCTTAAAATCAGAAACCTGACATCCGAAGAAAAATTAGATAACTTCCATATCAGAGTAATCCATAAAAGTTCGTCTATATCAAGCCAACCTGAGAAATGAATTGAATCTTGAATAAGAAAACCCTTAATTTTGATTCCACTCGTGGCACCTTCATCAGCTCCAGGAAAAACTGAATATAAAGCAGAAAACCAAGAACACAGCCTTTTACTACATAGAACTCATATTAATATGTGTATTCAAAACTGGATTATTACAGAAACAAGAAAAAGAAAACAGTGCAGCTCAATCACAACAGGCAGACTACTATGACGGTGTAAACTCAATACGGAATAACACTTAGGAACCAATTAATGTACAAGCTAAAGACCCTTGGTAACCAGCACAAAAGGACTAAAATTATTAGTCAGCCTACAGGCATTTAACTACAGTTTGTTAGAAAATCAGATGAACTAAGACCTTTATGGTGACAGCTGTCAGTGGACAAATCAAATTTGACCTCTTAACTCAGTAATTCCTGGATATATTTAATAAAAAGTTACAAGATCCTACAGTATTGGGGAGTTTACTTAGAAAGCACAAAATCATTACAGAAGTATAACGCAACCAACATGGCATCATAAAGTAAGTTGGATCCTGTTCACAGACCTGTTCACACTTTCCCAGATTCTCACGGTCACCTGTATAGCCCTAAAATGTTACAATGCCATAATTAATTAAAAGGATGTAAGGGCTTCCTTGGATAATAATAAAATACTTGAATTGTAAAACTTGCAATAAAAATGCCCATGTAAAAAAGTTTTCACCTTAAGAAGTTCCATCTCTTCCTTGGTTGGGCAAAATTTGATGAGATTTTCGACTTGATCGGCATCCAAAATTGACTCATCCATTGCAAGTGCTGCAGCCTGTAACAGTCAACCCCCCATGCAATTACAAAATATAGGGAGAAAAGAAAAGGTTTAGAAGATGGAACCAACAAAGTTACTAGGTGATCACCACCAGCTACAGACTCTTAGGCATTGCAAAGGACATCAAACCGAGGTAAAAAAAAAAAAAGTAAAAGATTAATGCGTATTATGAATACACTTTCCAATGCAAATGTAAGCATTTATATTTATTTAGAAGAAGGGTGCTACACTTGCATCTTCCTCTGCTGAGCTTTAGTTTGGACCAACACTTTTTTCCTCTCATTATTCTTCATCGTTAATTAAAATTTTATCCTCGTCTCCCTTTTGCAGGAAATTTTCTCTGAATGAATGAAAAAATATCTTTACTCATATCAACTGAAAGCAGGTCAACCTAAGTACCAATCAAAGAAGAGAAAAGCACCAAACTAAAGCGTTTACTTAAGCTGCTTCACTAGATAACTGCTTCAAGCATATAAAAGATTCCAACAAATAGGAAAAAGTTCATCAAGTCATCTTCACCATATATTGCTTACCATCATGTCAGGAAGTGGCATTTTCACTTTTGTGAGCATAATTTCAGTATTATTGGCCCTCCTTAGGTCAATCTACAAAAGAGCATAACGATTAACTATATCAGAAGAAAGTTTATGAGAATGCAATGTCATGCCCTTGAACCAAGTAAGACAAGGAGCCCTATAAAAAGTAGGAAAATGATACATTCGAGATCCAAATAAGACAATGCCCAAATTACCAGATGGACTTTATCAGGCTTAGATCCAGTAGATTTTCGCCGCCCTCCAGATTTCCCACCTGCAGGATCAGACTTGGGTACTGTGGCAGAGAAAAGGGTCTCAAGTTCTGACACATCAAAATCAGGTGCCCTAAGAGTTTGAAAGCAATGAATCAGTAACATATGAATCAGTAACATAAAGAAACCAAATCAGCTAGAGATATTTGATAGTTGATGGTAGACATACAGGTGAAAAAAAAATTAAAAAACGGAAAACAAATTTAGTGAGGAGGGAACATGAAAATGCTAAAATTAATAACTGGCTATAAATTAGAGAAACACAAATAAAACTGTTTTTATCAGCAAAGAGAAACTTACACATGTGGATCTCCGACACTCTGCAATTCTTCCCACAAGCTCCCTTGTAATACCCTTGTCACCTTGCTCCAATGAAGTGGTTTTAAGGTGGATCTCCGATTTGCTGTAGCCGGTACACCGGGACGTGGCAGCCCACGGCCTCTTCCAGCTGGCAACCCCCTACCATCTGCTGCAGGTACCTTCCCAAATGGAGGAGGTGGAGGTGGTCCACCTCCTGGGGGTCTAGGAGGTCCCGGAGGTGCAGGTGGGCCAGGAACGCGAACTCCAGGAGGTGGTGGTGGTGGTGGTGCTCCTCCCATGGGAGGAGGAGGAGGAGGGCCACGAATCGAAGGTGGTGGGGGAGGTGGTGGGG